AATTATGCATCATACCATTAGGATATGTTACTGGGAAATGATTTAAATGTCATCATCCATGTATGGAACCAGGAAGCAGACAGTCAGGCACCTGTGAACCCTTAGTAAATGTGTTGATTATCTCATGTATCGTATTGTTTTGATTTCTGTCTGCAGTCAATTAAGCTGAAGATGTTTTCACTTTTGTGGAAAAAACACAAGAAAAACAGACCTGCCTTTGCCTTCGTATCATCTGTGGTCATCTGTGTTTCATATTTGTAGCTTGACAAACCAGTGAAGCGAACAAACACGGTGGACTATTTCAACTTGAAAACTGCAGCCAAAGAACCTGAAGATGGCACCAAGTGTACAGTGGCTGGATGGGGTGAAACAAAGCCTAATCTTAAAAAAATGTCTGAGGTCTTGATGGCAGTCAATGTGACTGTGATCAACAGGATGAAATGTAACTCTCCTTCCTATTATGACTTTAACCCCATCATTAACAAGGACATGATTTGTGCTGGTTCAAATGGCAAAGACAAGGCTGATAGCTGTAGGGTAAGTAACATTTTTTAAATCTTTTTAGGAAAACATCTGCCATTCTGTGAAACCTTGGCTGTACTGTACATTTTTATTACTTGCAGGGAGATTCAGGAGGTCCACTGTTGTGTGACGGACAGCTTGTAGGAGTAACTTCTTTCGGACGTAACTGTGGCATTATTAAGAAGCCAGGAGTTTACACTTTCCTCTCTGCGAAATACATCTTCTGGATCAAAAAAACAATGAAAAAGTCTGACTAATCTACTATTGTGGAATCATTTGTCTCTCCAACATATAACCTTTTGGAGTCAGTATATCAATGACTCCAACTTTTCCTGTAATACAACACATTTGTTGTGTTTTCTCAATCCTGACTGTTTGAAATAAATTGAATGAATTGCAAAAATAACTGTTTTTGATGTTTAAAAAGTAGCCCAGAAGCTTTAAAATATTTTCACACAATAATACATACTTTTTTTTATTATACTTTTAGACTATATCAGAATAAAGTCTTTGCTAATAGTTTGGTAGGAGTTACAAGCTCACAAAAACGTATCTGGTATATGACTGATATATAGATAATTAGTGTGTTGCCTGTGCGATATAACAAAAATAAAAATATTTATAATAAACAACCATATATATATAAATATATACATACATACATACAATATAATTCTTATATTATGTTTTTATTTTACTGTAAGTATTCCCGACGGAAGTGTTTGTCCACATTACCGTTGGTTTCCGGGTTGAGTGTCGGACACTGTCGTGCAAACATGGCGACTCACATGTCGAAGTGTAGAAGCTGGAGTCGTGTTCACAGGTAATATTGTGTTTAACTTAAGAAGAGATTCTTTTTCTCTGGTGTTTTTAAAATGCGGTTCTTGAAACAGCTGGTGTTTTTGTATCTCTGTCCTTTAAAACGCCACGTTTGTTCACACAGTCATCACGACGCTAAGAGTCGGGGCTAATGTTGCTCTATCGCTGTGGAAAACTAAGAATAAAACAGCAGTCGCCCTCCTGCTCTCATGGGTTTAAAGCGGTTAATGGTCGCAAGGTTTAAATGATAAAGACAGACCTTATTTTATAACGAAAAAAATAGTTTTACAATATTTAGGAAATATTGGCACTCAAGATGACAATGTCAAATTTACCCTGAGACACGAGATCTCTTATTTTCCTCCAGATTCATTTTTTCGAAGTAATTCTTCGTAATTCAACTTTGTTTAAAATTAACTGTTTATTGAAACATGAAATCACACAGGATCAAGTGTGAAAACATCTGGAAAATCGATAATAGTCAAGCTTTCTATATTACATATATGTTTGGGTCACTGTCAAAATGTCATTTCATACAGTAAATGTAAGCGTAATTGCAGCATTATTTTTTTATATACATATATAGAGTAACTGATTTATACAATCCATTAAAAATTTATCACTGTGTGTTTCTCCACTTCGGTCAGCTGTCGATAATGTGTTTTAAATGATGGTTGAATTCATTGTTTCTTCTTGGAGGTTTGGACTAGCAGCTTACAGAAAGTACAGCAGTGGCAGCGGATATCCGAACATCCCTCTCTCCACACCACTGCCAGGAATCCCCAAACCGGTGTTTGCAGCCGTGGATGGTCAGGAAACATACGAGACCAAGATCACCACCTTAGAAAACGGACTCAGGGTTGCTTCACAAAACAAGTTTGGACAATTCTGCACAGTGGGAGGTAGGTTGCTATAAAATAATTCTTTGCGAATTATGTTGTTGTTCTCCAAATGAGATACTCCAAATCTGTTTTTTTTTCTTAGTGTTGGTGAATTCTGGCTCCCGATATGAAGCAAAATATCCAAGTGGAATAGCAAATTTTTTAGAGAAACTAGCCTTTTCTGTAAGTTTTTTCACTTCTTTAAGCATCTGTAATTTGTCGTTTAGAGGACATGTTAATATTTTAGTTGCTTTTCCGAATCCGTTTTTATCTCCTGAACATTGCAGTGTGCAATGTTTACGTGTAATATTGTGTCATATTTGTAGTCCACAGCTAAGTATGGGAGTAAAGATGAAATCCTACTTACGCTTGAAAAACATGGAGGAATATGTGACTGTCAGACCTCGAGGTACAAGTCTTTCTCTGTCTATGTTTTATTTATATATATATACACACATATGTGTGTGTATATATATAAAACACAAATATGATCCAATTAAATTTCTCTCACTCTTTTGTTTGCCTGTGCAGGGATACCACCATGTATGCAGTATCTGCTGAAGTCAAGGGTTTGGACACTGTAGTCAATCTTCTCTCAGACGCTGTACTGCAGCCTCGTCTGCTGGGTGGGTTCAGTCATATTAAGTGTTTGTCAGATACTGTACATCTGTCAGGTGTTTGAGTCTGAGGAGTTCCACTGTGATAAAGTAAAAAAAAAGTATCTTATCTATTTTGATTAGATTATATCAGATGGTCTACGACTTCCTGCTACCTCTAAAGAGTAGTGCGCATATACATATATGTATATATGTGTGTGTATGTATATATTTTTGTATGGGTATATATGTATATGTATGTATGTATATATGTATGTATATATATATGTATGTATGTATATATATATGTATAAACATTACATTACATACATACATTAATTAAAAGGCTTTTCCTTTTAATTAATGTATGTGTGCAATATGTACCAGACAGTGTATATAAGAAATATATATTGCAGTAACAAATAATGGTTATTTACACACAGACGAGGAAATCGAGATGACCAAAATGGTGGTGCGCTTCGAGCTCGAGGACCTGAACATGAGGCCGGACCCTGAACCTTTACTCACAGAAATGATTCATGCTGTGAGTTGTACTTCATTAGTCAGCAACGCTGTATATAATTAAGTATTATTACATCAAATTTGAGGTCACTGTTCTTTTGCTTGTGTAACTCACGCTTCGTTTACAGGCTGCATATCGAGATAACACCGTTGGACTGCCGCGATTTTGTCCGATAAATAATGTGGACAAGATCAACAAGGGAGTTCTTCAGAGATACTTGAGCACCTACTACTGTCCAGAACGAATGGTGCTGGCTGGAGTTGGAGTGGAGCATGAGCACCTAGTAGAATGTGCCAGAAAATACTTGCTGGGAGTGGAGCCAGCATGGGGATCAAGTAAAGGCTCTAATGTTGACCTGTCAGTCGCACAGTACACTGGAGGCATTATCAAGGTTAGAGACGCACACACAGGCCTAAATTTTCTGATTGTATTTTACTAAAAATTCATTTGAAAGTACTAAAAAAAAGTTATATATGTATGCATGTATGTATACATATATATGTACAATATATATATGTATGTATCTATATATGTATGTATGCTGCCAAGTTGCAGCTTGAATGACAAGTTCCCTTTTACTTTAATGTGTACATATGTGTATGTCTATATGTATGTATTTATATGTGTATATATGTATATTTGTATGTGTGTGTGTATATAAATACATATGCATACATGTATATATGTGTGTGTATGTATAAAAATATATATACTGGTACATATATGTATATGTGTATATTTATTTTATCTGTATGCATATATATATGTATATATATATGTGTTTTCATCAGGTATAGTTGATAACCCAGTTTGGATTCTAATACATATCTTTCATTCTGACAGACAGAGAAAGACATGTCAGACGTGAGCCTCGGCCCCACCCCTATCCCTGAGCTCACCCACATCATGATCGGCCTGGAGACCTGCTCCTTCCTGGTAAGGTCCATGATGTTGTGAATACCTGCTTGAAGTCTGTTTTTTTAAAAATTATTTTTATTTAAATAAATATTTTTTCTTTTGACAGGACGACGACTTCATCCCTTTCGCTGTGCTGAACATGATGATGGGTGGAGGAGGCTCCTTTTCAGCAGGGCATGTTCACCCGTCTGTACCTGAACGTGCTCAACAGGTGAACTTCTGCAGCGTCACCACCAACTCTTACTTAATTCAGACAATCACCGATCGTTCCTCTCTAATTCTAATTCTTCTTCCACCTTTCAGGCATCACTGGATGTACAACGCCACCTCCTACCACCACAGCTATGAGGACAGTGGTCTGCTGTGTATCCACGCTAGTGCAGACCCCAGACAGGTCAATAATACCCTAATTGTATTAAACAGTAAAAAAAAAATGAATGAGTGAATAATTGGTGTTTGCGTGACATCCGTTTATTTTCAGGTGCGAGAAATGGTGGAAATAATAACCAGAGAGTTTATTCAGATGAATGGAAACACAGGGCAGGTGAGACAGTCACTGCACAGTCATCGTACTTGACGGATCAAACGTTGGTGTTATTTATATTTTTAT